GCCCAGGCTGGAGCACGGCTGCCGGCTGCCGGTGAGTGGTGCTGAGTGGGTGTGGATGCACCCGATAGGGATGCCAAGCAGGGATGCAGAGAGCAAAACCTGCATCAGCTGCGCTCCAGCAGCAAGTGCCAGGAGCGGGCGACCATGGTGGCACTTCCAGTGCTGCGGCAAGGAGCTTTCCCAGTTTGACCATAGCAATTTCTCCTGATGAGCTGAGACCTCCACGCTGAGCTACCAGAAACGTCGCTGAAGAGCATCTCATGGCTTAAATACAAGCTGGGTGCAGGTCCCTTTCCCCAGTGGCAGCGTAAAGAGGGCAGGGGCTCAGAGCAGAGGTGCTGTCGGTCAGCAGCAAGGTGGGTTTTCCCTGGTGCTTGTGGGGCACTGAGCCCCCAGTGCTGAGGGGTGGGAGAGTGGGATGGAGGTGCTGGGACGACAGACCCCATCCAGGGTACAGCTAGGGCTCCTGGCTCCGGACCCATGCTGAGCTGCCCCAAAGCGCTCCAGGGCTCCTATTTAGGACCCCAGGCTGGTACAGCTGCTCTGTGGGGTGAAGGGGGGCTCCCGCGAGGGCACACAGGGGCACACATGGGGTGCCAGGCTCCTGCCCCCCCCCCAACCCCTCGGTGCACATACGGGGCCAGCCTCCTCCCTGCAGCTTTCTTGGGATGCTTTCACTCCCTCCTCTGCAGTGCCCGGAGGGGCTTCAATGGCAGAAGGAAGCGGAAAAATAGTCTCGGCTTTAGACTTGGAAGCTGAGGTTTCCCGTAGGGAAGCTGAATGGTGGCTCTGAGGAGCGGTCTCCAGGCTTCGCTGGCTGGGGGGCATCGCTGGTGAGTGGCAATATTGTCCCAGGGCAGAAAAGGCCTTTGTCCCTCTGAGATGGCAGAGCCACTCCAGCCTTTGGCTTTGGGAGCGGGCTGCCTCCCTGCTCTGCCTTACAAACGCCGGTGCTGAATGGGGGGTTTGAGTCCGAGGCCAGGCTCGGTTCCAGCCCCTTTGAGCGAGTGCCTGCGGGCACAGCTGGGGACCCTTTCAGGAGGGAAGTCCTTGTTCCTTGTCAACAGGAGAAGACTTTGCACAGCTCAAAAATAGGCTCTCTCTTGCCCATTGGGGTTTGGAAGGAGCTGAGAGAAACAAACCCGCTGCGGGGATGGCAGGCAGCAGCGTCCCTGCGGAGCAGGAGGGAAGGGACCCTGCGGGCAGCCTGCCCGGGGGGCTTCGTGGCCTGGTCCCAGGGCTGCTCCTCGGCCAAGTACCCAGCCAGGGCTAGGGGGCTGTGACCCGCAGCATCGCCTCTGCACCCCACCTCAGCATCCCTCAGCGACGCAATGGCCCTGCGTGGGCGATGGGTCACGGCAGGGCTGTGCAGAGGAGGGTCCCCGTGGCACATCCCATTGTCGGAGCCAAGGCTTTCATTGTGCAGCAGGGATGAAGTCTGGGAGCACCTACCTGAACCCGTGGCACCTTAATTCCCCAGCCATAAAACCTGACATTATTTTATCCTCTATGCGTAGTTCATAGCTTAATTAACTCAAGCTCCTCATGGCAGCACCTAGAGAGGCTCCCATCAGCTTCAGGCATTTCAGCTCTTCCAACCCACTCCAATCCATGGTTAACAGGCTCTTTACCAAGGCGATAATGCCGGTCTGGTTGCCATATCCATAACTCACTGCTGTGCTGTGCTGTCTAAAGGTTTTTAAAGACTTTTTAGTTGTGATTTTCAGTTTTTTGTTCCAGCAGAGTTTGCATCGGGCAAAGCAGGCAGGAGCAGTCAGCATCTGAACCCCGTGTCCGAGCTCCACAGCCAGCCCGTACTGAGCATCTCCACAAGTGCCTGGAGAAAACCGCCTTCTACACGCTCCCAGCTGCCAAAAAATACCTGCTCTGTTGAGGCTTTCCTGCCTGGGCCTCCGTTCTCAGTATTCATTTCAAAATTGGTATTCACGCCAGGACACTGCTGGTATTTACTCATCGCATCCCATATAAATTGCAAGGTAAGTTACTCGGCATCAGATACTGTTACTGATTTGGAAAACTAAATTTGTAAATTCACGAGTGCACGGAATGATGTTGTCCTAGCTAGGAAATGTTCCTTGAAGAACAAAAAGAAGTTTTGTTAGAAGTTTTTATTTAAAGTGAGGCGAAGCGCGGCATGACTTTAATGCTAGCCTGCTGCCTCCAGAAAAAGTGATTTCTTTGCCTCTGTGTTGTTCTAGACTACTCTATTAATCGTCTCCAGGAAGATGCCCTGGCTCTCTCACTTACACCAGCATCTCCCCATGCTTTTTGGGGTCCTCTGGCCCTGGCCAGGAGGGCACAGCATCAGTGCTCAGCACCTCGAGCTGGGCAGGGATGCCCCAGGGAGGGCTCGAGGTGTCTGCGGGATGGGCTGGGTGCAGCCGGCAGACCTTGACCCTCAGCACTGACCAGAGGTAAAGATTTTTAATCCAGCTGGCCCAAATAATTGTAACAGTGGAATAAAGGCAAAAGGGAAAAGGAGGAAACAACAGATTCCAATTAGCACCGGTAACCATGGCATTATGAAACCCAGATTTTGTCAAACAGCTGATTGCGATCTTTGAAGAGATTGTAGGTTTGATGGAGGAAGGTGTCTGAATCGCTGTTTCAGGTTGTTGCAATGTATTTGATGTGCTATCAAGCAGTATTCTCATGAAGAGCAGCACGATGCAGTATCAGTGCGGTGCATCTTAAGTGGGTTAAGAACTGGCTCATTGACAGATCTGAGAGAACTGCAATGAGGAATCATCTTCAAACGGAGGAATTATTAATGAGTCCGTTAA